GCCATGGCGCAGCGCTCACGCACCTCGGCCTGGTCCCCTCGGAGCGCGCTGCCCCCGCACCGAGCCTCGCTGCTCCCGCCGCCACTGAGCGCCCGCCCCGCTCCGGACGGGCCCAGACGGACCTACCCGGGCCTGCCCTGCCCTGCCCTGCCCTCCCCGCGGTGCTCCGCCTCCCCGGGCCGCAGCAGCCGCCATGGCCCGGCCTGCCCGGGCTTGTGCGCGGCGTGGGCGAGAAGGGGGCGCGCAGCTGAGGCCCGCGGGGAGGATGGAAGAAAAGGAGAAAAAAATACCCCAAGTCTCAACACCCCCGGATTGCAAAATAAGGTTAAAATACGTGTGAGGCTGCAACAGGAGTCCACCCTCAAAGAAAGTAACACTGGTCCCAACTCTATTCCTCCCAGTTGTAATGAGCTTTTAGGCTAAAAAGCTCATAAGAAGAAGGGCTGATGCAAACATAGGCATGTTTGCTCAAATATACAGTGAAGGGTGCAGAAATAAGAAATACAGAAAGTGAGAGAATTTTTAAAGCTGCGCTATGACTGAAAGTTAGTCTTGACTATGTATATCCACTATCACAGACATGATTTTCATGCTTTGTGCCACCAAGTGCAGCCCCACACTTGCAGACCTTCTGTGGCTATTCTTATTAATCATCAGATGTGAAAAAAAGAATTACTTGAACAAGGACTAGAGAATCGGGATTGTTTTTAAAACTGGCTCAATAAATCGACTTATTGAAAAAAAGGAAACAAAACGTTTTGGGCATTCTTAGCTGTTATTTCGGGCAGAAATTGCATCTTCATACGTATTTCTACACCACCTGGCATAGGGTGTAGCCCAATCATGTAATGTAATTAGTGCTTTTTACAATCAAATTGTAATGATTTTCTGTTACCTCCTTTTTTCTCTCTTTTTTTCCCCCAGACTAATGCATATCTGGTGCCAGTGTAACAAGAATGTAAGTTCACAGAGTTAAACCAAGCCCCCGTTACCATACTTGAAAACGGAAGATGGTGATTGTTTTATGTGCAATTCTCAGAACTAGACTTGGAAATATCAAGCAGCCTGGAGAAAACATATTTTTCACTAGATTTGTAAATATAAAAAGGAGCAGAAATGCATCCAGAAATTCTACAGAAAACATCCTTTCTTTTTCTATTTCTTATTTTGGTTTTGCAGATCATGGAATTTTAGGTTCATGTATTAAATTTTAAAAAAATTCAAAATCGTAAAAGCTTATACCTTAACAGCCTGAGAGTTTTGAGGCCAACACTTTACTCTTTTTTTTTTTCCTATCATTGTTTAATTCCCCTTATTCTAAGGAAGGAACAGAAGGAGAGAGGGAAGAGAGAGAAAGCAAAGAAGGGAAAGTAGGAAAACAAGAAATTAAAAAAAAAAAGTAGAGAACAAGAAAGAAGAAAGAAAAGCAGGAGGTGGTATTTCTTGCAAACCTAAGCATCAGGGGGAGAAGTGTCTGTATGTAGGATGCAAAACCAGGGCTGTGGTCAGTAAGGCAGAAGTGAACTTGTACTCAAGGTCTATTTTCTTTTAAAAGTTCAGTAGCAGCATAAAGTGCCTGTAGAACATTTGAAAACTGCTGTGATCTAAGTGAGGTTAGGTACATAACTGTGGTGATAGTTGCTCCTGAGGGGCTCGTTCTCACAGTCCTCACTCATGTGAATTGTCCCTTTGATGCTAATAGGATTACTCCTGTAAATCAGGGATGCCATATCAGCCCAGTATCCAGGGTTATACTGATCATGAAGGGCTTGATCTTGCAAACCTCATTCATGTGAGCAACTCTTTTTCATGACAATTTTCCCATTTACTTGAAAAACTGTCCATAAAGCCAGAGATAGGAGAATCAGGACACAAATGTAGGATCAGCATAGAAGTAGGAATACAGGAGTTTTTCATTTAACCTCCAGCAAGGGATGGATCCTGGCCAGTAAGGTCAGGGAAGTTTAATCATTCCATTTTGATTACAAGGAGGACAAAGGAGAAGCATGATTCAGCTTTAGCCATTCTGTCTCCTTCTGTGTTTCCATTTAGTCACTGTAATTTAACTGGTAAAGAGTGTACCAATATTACATTTTCCACACCTGAAGCTTCTGTTCATCACCACCTCGCTAACATAAACTGTTTCCTCAAACAATAGCCAGTCGGTAACATTGACAAATAATGCCTCCTGTGTTAAATCAACTAATGATTTATAAAGTAAAGCAAATCGTGACTACTATAAGGTTCAGCATATATTTTAACTTAAAGTCTGACATGCTGTCTAAATGCCAAAAGGAAGGTGTTTCAGAATGTTTAGTATAACAGTCCACAATTTTTGTGCCGCTCAATTAAAACCTACTCCCCCTAGTTAGCAAGTACTTTTGCTCTATCCGATGTTGACACCTACATAATATAACCGTGATTCATATGCTCCTACTTCAGAAGAGCTCAGATAGATTGCTGTTTAGGTTATCTGGGAAACTGCTTCAAGAAGAGCCAGAGAGGATCTGTGTTCAGTTAGGAAGGCTTCCTACTGGTGTATTGAAGGCTTCTGCAGCATAAGCAGCTTTTTGGTTCAGCTTTCAACTCCAAAAGCTGTATACGTCCAGTGTTTCTCTTCTATTATGGTCAGTCAGGACAAAGAACAGTTTGTAAGGATAAAACAAAACAAAACAAAATGAACCTGCAGTCCCAAATGCATAGAAGGGGGGGAAAAAAAAGGACGTGTGAAAGTGACATGGGTCTGATTAAAATAAAGAGATATAGAGAGGAATTAGCATTAAGCTACAGAGATTCAAGAACTGACGCAACAACTGAGGCAACAAAACTGAGGCCGGTTTCATCAGGGCACACTTTCATTTGGCTTAACTCATTAAACATGTCTTAACTGTTCTTCGTTTTAACAAACTGAAGCACTGTAGCACATAGCAGCATCCTGCTTGTAAGGACTCCAAGGCAGGAAGTGCTCTGTGTTTGCACAGAACTAGCCAGGTTGCATTCAGTGGGTTCAAGACTAGCTCATTAGATAATAATGATCAAAGACTCATTGGCATTTGCCTAGCTATTTAGTAGCTTTTTGTTTTGCACGTGCTTGCAGTTCTTGTGTTGTTTTTTTACGTCAAGCATTCATTTAAGCAGGTTTTTATTCATGATGATGTTCGGAGAGCAACAGATCTCAGTAGCGAAGCTCAGGTTGATTATAAAGTTCCAGATACAGATACAGAAACAATAGTGTATAATTATGCAACCTTGCACAGTAGGTGGTGACCAACAAATAGTGAGAGCAGAGAATCCTCACCGGAATAGGTCCATAGGAACTGTTTTTGTCTTCAGCTATACATCATAAGCAGATTATTAAAAAAAGCAACAAAGCTCATCTGCTAGTCACTTAGAGAGATAATGAGTGAGGTTACCCTCTAAATTAACTTGCTGCCTTCCATTAAGTATCGTCACTACTACATGTGACACGAGGATCTAAAGTCAGCACAGGGACATATCATAAGAAATAATACAAGCAATGAAATTACCTGTAGACTGGTGCCTTATAGACTATCTCATAGGCTTGGTTGAGGAAAACCTCAGGGATTTTGGCATGGAATACATGTGGACATATGGTACTATGGAGACCATGCACATCATGGAATACTATTTGTCTCCATCACTGTTTCACTGCATTTGCAGATTGCAGCAACTGCCTTGCCTCTGGAAATATGACAGCAGCACAGACCTGTCTTTGCAGCTGGCAGCAACGCGTAGGTGCTGAGGTATTTTAAGTCCCATGCTGCATGGGACTTACAGAGAGAAGGATCTCTCTCTTCTTCAGTTCGTGTGATGTTACTCAATTTTTACAACTTTGTCTGTTAGTAAAATGAAATGTTTCCTATCATTGAAGGCCATCAGAGGTTCAAGGTCATTGTAATGCTTAGATACGTCAATAGGACAGATATTCACCATACACCATAATAAGTTACTTTTAAACTAATTCAATGAGAGGAGTTATTTGTTAAACATTAAATGCAGTTTGCAGAACAAAATCTGACCCTTTAAAATAGCACCAAAGAAGCAGAAAGGAAAAAATATTCACGATACAAGTAGAAAGAGCTATCAAGTTTCATATCACCATTTCAACAAGGTCCAGAAAGGAGACAAACTGTAGAGAGAAAAAGAGATGTTAGGACATGTATTTTACTCATCAAAGACTTAAAAGAATATAGTAAAGATAGGTTTTCCTTGCTTTACTACCACAGCTACAGTCTAGAGGCACAGCAAATTATAAAACTGTAAACCAAACTGGAAGATTTCTTGCTGCAATGTCATTGACGTACTTCAAAGGCACTAGAAAGACTTAGAATCAGTTTAAGTGAGCTACTGACAAGGCACAGAGTGGAAAACTGTGTCTTGCAACTGTGTCTGTCAAAGTATCTCTGCAGAAAAGACATTCCTAGAAGTAGAGAAGCAAAATTGTGGGTTTTTTTGTTGGTGGGTTTTTGTTTTGTTTTGTTTTGTTTTTGGTAGAAATTTTACTGCAACTTATCTAGTACACCCACTTTCTGAATTCCTGCCTCTCTCTGTTCTACATGTATGTTCATCCTGCTCAAACTGTCCACTCGGATTCCTGGTCAGTCATTACTGACTGCTATCACTTTCAGACACACCACCAACAAAAACCTCCCAGGAGGCATCAAAAGAGAATATACAATTTCACTCTTGGAAAAAAAAAAAAAAGTAAAAACAACTGCTACAAGTGTTCCAACTCTTTAAGACTGCAGTCTTCTGTTATTCTGATCTTTACTTGTTACTCAACTGTCCAAGAGTGCAAAAAGCCCAGTTTTATTTCCACAGAGCGCAAGATACGCGTAAGCACATCCATCAAATATATCTCACCCTTTGTGTGATGGAGTTTTTAGGTCTATTGCATGGGCCTTTTTTTTTTTTTTTTTTTTTTTGCTAAGATGCCACAAAAATTAAATCATTCCTAGCCTCACCAACAGCCACCTCACTCCTATGTGGCTTGCAGCCTTTTTTCAGAGCTGTTGCAAGTCAGTTACTTAGCCCCAAATGGGGAAGTAGCAATTCTGTTGGTTAACT